TGGTTTTGATGTTGCACTAATCAAACTAACACTGTTAGGGCAACTCTGCTGTCTGACAGCTGTTCCTGATCTCTCTTCACTTTATTTCACAGTCTCGAAAACTCTTCAGGTTTTCTTTTTTTTCAAAACCACAGATTCACACACAAAAACTAGACATCAGGAGCATCTAGGGTTTCAGCTTTTGTTAAGCAAGAAATCAGCTGAAATTAGGTTCTGTCCCTACTCTATGCAGCCATCACTGTAGAAAAAAAAAGCTTTTTTCCTCCATTCTGCCTTTCAAAAACAAGGTATATATTATATTCTAGATCATGCTGTATCTGGAAAAACTATGAAATCTTAAGAAAATGAGGGAATTTAAATTCCAGCACTGGTACCACTGCATGAACAGAGAGAACATTACCTCCCTACTACTGTAGCACCCAGCATCTGGTTCTTTGCAAAAGTTTGGAGTTAGGGTTAGGTCAAGACTGCCTCAAGATCTGCTAGACCTGGAAAATACCTTCTAGACCAGTACAATAGTGCAGAACACATAGGCTAAACCACTCCTCTATGCCTGTTCTGGAAAATCCCTTGGAAAGAGAACTTGTATGGTTTTGTAACTCTTTTTCTACGAGGACTGGCTTCAGGGAAACAATGTATTGAGTCAATATGGCTGCACAGTAGTACCTAAGCATATAATTTAATGTAAATGAAAATCAAACTTGTCGTGATCATCTGAGTTCAAAAATCATTTGGCAGGGCTAAAAGTAAACAAAACAAAAGCCTTTATGCTTCTAAATTAAGCATGTCTGATAGTGAAACCAAGGAGGCACAAACTTAGATCCCCATAATGTCATCCTGGCTACTTTTTAGAAGGGTTAGCACAATACTTCTTTTGCCTGTTTGCCTCAAAGACCTCCCCCGCCCCCAAACCTTAGTTTCCCCTAATCTTCACGCTTGAGGTCAAAGTAGAGGAGAACAAATAAGTCCTCAATCTTTCTTGGTTGGACCCAACAATTAAGACATGAAAATGCCACGTAGACAACAGAGAGCAGCTATGTGCATCGGACTTCCAGGGGGGGGAAAAAGTCTTAAAAAGGATCTCCTTTTCTCTAAGTCTTAGGACCCACACTGAACATGATCATCTGGAATCAAAACTGAAATTAGTTCAGGAATTTCAACTGTGTCAGAGATCATTATTTATCTAAAATTACCTAGACTGAAGAAAAGTGCAGTAACAATCGCACACAAATAGGAGTTTTTGGTTAAAAACAACAAAACTACAAGTTCCAAGCACAGAACAAAGGTTAAGCCCAAACTTATGGCTAGCCTAAAAGAACTGGGGCCGTGCAGCCCCATGTCCAAACATCCAATGCCACAAGAGGGCATTAGTGCTTTTCCAACAGTCATCCCTACTAGCTTGTTGCCAAAGCTCACCACGACCTGGGCAGGGGGTAAATGGAGACTGGCAAATCTCACCAAAGGGAAGATGCAGGGACCACCTCAGGTTGGAGAACAGTTGCAATGTTGTGAAAGCAGTATCATATTAAACTTTGGCTAGCTAAGTTTGTAAAATAAATGTTACATACACTAAAGAAAAGCATACAGGCTGCATCCACCTGATGCAGTCACATTCATGGCCTTGTGATTAGCGCTTATCACCAACATTATAACGAGCGACTCTGCCCCTTTAGGGAGTTCCTGGCAGGAGGGAAATGGTGGAATGAGATAAAAGTGAGAAGCCATGGAAGAAGCTGGAATTGTTACAGAAGAAGGAAGTCAATATTATTACATGCTGATCTGAGGGTATTCTAATAATATATAGGAACAAGCAGAGTGAACGTTCATAAATAAGGGTGTAGGTTGTAGCTGCATTGATCTAAGGGCCTAGGCAGACAAAGAACCTTGTCTGCCTATGTTCGTAACTAAGGTATGGATGCAGCAAGCTCCTAAGCTTCAACCTCGTGTTCATTTGGTCAGTGTGCCTGCCTAACAAAATTCTAGGCAAGTCACCTCTCTTAGCTGGGACAAAAGGAGAAATAACTGAATCCTAATGTGAAAAACTAGTAACAGCATAATACAAAAGTACTCACGTTCAATACTACTCCAATAATCTTCAGTACCATAGCAATGTTTGTGACATCTGTCCCACTCCCCACACACAACCAACATGGAATTTGGGAACAACATAAAGCTAGCGCTAGACCTATTACTACGAGTGGCAGGTCCACAAGCCCTCATCTGCATATACACCCACTGTACTAAAATAATGGAAAGTATCTGTGGTCACTAGGATACCAGTTCTTAGAGCCAGGGACTCTCTTGAACATGGACATCTCCATTTATAAGACGCAGGTGAAACCATGTGCCATGTGGTGATTCTGGTTAGAACATCAACTCCAGAAAATAATTTCTCCTCTACACAAAAGACAGTGAAGGAAATTGAGTTTTTCTAATTAGAATTATGCTGAACCCTTACAAAAAAGATGCCTGCCAAACTACTTAATGACAGCATTACTGATGGGAGAACAAGGCTATAATTCAGCTCATTAATTGTGGATGCTCTAGTCTTTAACATCCAAATCATTATCAGGTTTTACTATGACTGAAAAAATTAAATAATAATACATTTTGTTTTCTTCAAGCTGTACAGCACTGCAAGCAGTTACCAGAATGACTTAACTTGGTATGTTTGAAAAATAACAGTAAAGCCTCAAGCACATATATTAACAGTGCACTTAAAGGGGCACAGTCTGCTGAAAATTCACACATCTGGCTGTAACTTATTACCTACTATTTTTACACTTAACACCTAAGATTACTATAGCCAAAAGAGATTAGGAGGAGAACAAATTTTTCCAATCTGTTCACTCCACTTATGTGACAATACTTAATGTAGAGCCAGTTCATGTAGAGTCTTTCCACTGCATAATCAGTTAGTTGAACTGGTTCCTGTACTGTTTGTGCAGGTCTTCCATGAAGCATAATGGGAAAGAGAAAATACATTTTAAAATATCAAAATCTAACTGTCAAAACCTCAAAAATTGGCAGGGCCACTTAAATTGAATATAATATCTGAAACTAATACTGATTCTTATTTCTCAAATGAACAGATTTTTAGATGATAAAGGCCTTACGTGTAAACCTAGTGAAGTGCAGTACTGATACACACAAATGAACAGGGAATTTAGTACTGGTGCTTAATTTACTTGCAAAAAAACCCTCTATTCAATAGCTTAAATATACTACATAACATTAACTATCAAATATTATATGGCTTGAAGCAATCACATTATTATCATCGTTTTCTATGAGCAGCAATTAACCTTTTAACATCTAAACAATGAAAAAGGTAATTAAGAACTATGGGTTCCTATAGATGTGCAGGATGTCTGCTCCTACACACTGTAATTAGCATGTTCCAGCAGCCTCGGTGTCTCGTGTATTTAGCATCCCAGCACTTCAAAATGGCAGTTGGGATGCTTTAACTAAAGCTCATTGAACGAGCTTTGGTTAAAGCATCCCTATCGCCATTTTGAAGTGCAGGACACTGAATATATGAGATGCTGCGGGCACTTTAATTAGAGCCACTCTAATTAAAGTCCCCCTCCCTTCGTCCGGCCCCCCCCCCCCTCCCACCCACCACCTTCCCAAAGCATATATAAAGATGCCCTGTGCATGCAGGGGATTATAGCTTGAATTATGGATTGGCAAAGACCTCTCAAATTCTGTTCAATTAAAACTTCACTTCAATAAAGTTTGCCAACCAACTAGAATAAAGCTATTTTAAAAAATTAAACAGCTATTATGTTTTAATTATGCAGCATATAATTATTAATTTTTAAAAAATTATCCACATCACTTCTATGTGGAGAATTTTTTAAACTGATAAAAGATATAATATAACAGGTCAAATCAATCAAAACTTCCTACTGTATCTGGTAAAGCAGACTGAATGGTGTAATTTTCTCTTCTGTGCTGGTAAGTTGAAACCATAATTGGGAAAATGTCTATTAATAAATGCAGTCCTGAAAAGTGCAAAGCACTATGGCGTGAGCCAGCAAAGCATTTAAATAAGTACTTAAGCTTACAAATCATTTTACTGGGATTCAACACTTCTTTGAGTGCTTTCCTGAACCATATCATAATGCTCAGCACCGGGCAAAATTAAATCTGAAATCTGTAAATACCATCTCACGTGCAATCGATTTAATAAATTAGGTCATATGAAAATTAGCAAACTTATTCTCTATCTTTAACTAGTAAATAGGACAATCATATTACAAAAAAAGTCAAGTTTGGGGTTTAAAAATAGGAAAAAAACACAAAATAAAACACCTTATCAAAAATATCTTCTCCCTCGGGAGAAATTAATGCTAAGACTGTTGATAATGTCAAGATCCTTCAGTTCTTTGAGGAGAAAGAGTGAGAAACAAGAATGTATTCTTCACATCACTGACAGACCTCTTGAAAAGGCAGTGTCTTCCTCTTCTCTACTTCCTGTTTTCCATACAGCCAGGGAGAAAGACTGTGGACATGTCACTTTAGACGTATCAAACATCTGTACTTCACTGGCCTAGATAACTCACTACTGAAGTTGGCAAAATAACTAATTCTTCTACCTTTAAACATATTGAGGGATTGTACCAAAATCAACAGGAATATTCACAGAGGAAAACTATATTGCACATAGGTGGTCCATAGAATGGAATTATTTCATAAAGCCTGATCTCAAAAAAGCATTGCATTACCTTTAAAATGTGTGCAGCCTCAGTGTAGACCATTTCTAAAATACAAACACACCTTCAACACAACAGAACTCCATCCTTATCCCACACCCATAATCACTGAAGGGCACCAATTAAATCATGGCACAGAGAAATAAGTACCATCTACCTCATCACCACATAATTTTGGACAGTGCTAAGTTTTTCTTTGGGAATCTTCTCATACAGGCTTGCAGGAGGCTTAAGTCTGATCAGGTTTACTTGCACATGCCTTGTGTTCTAAAAGCCCCTTACCTCCAGGAGCCATGGTTTTAATTTTCTGTCCAGCAAAATATCAAATCCCAAGACTTCAAAGCAGACACTGTCACTTCCTGGAGCTTGCCCTGGTCTGCACATGCGGTAAGCATGAAGGACATGTGGTTCAGCTACTATGAGAGTCTTCACCACTAGTTCCTGTGGGGAATTGTGGGAAAGTTGCATTAGGATATCAGAGCATAATACCAGCATGTTCCGATTTGAATCATAAACTACGTCTTCAAATATGTCTTCTTCTAATGCATTAACGATAAGAGAAATTCAGGGGCTGGACTCGATCCTCCAGGGTCCCTTCCAGCCCAAATGTCTATGAAATCTATGAAATTTTACAGATCCATTGTGGGAACTACAAAAAGGTCTAAGAAATTATTCTTATTTTTTAGAGCAGTCCTACAGAATTACATACAAATCATATTCATTAGGAATTTATCCATATAAAACCTTTTTTTCCCTATGCTACCCATCTTTCATTGCTTTCGTTATGGAGCTCAATATCTTTTATACTGCACACCAAATAGTTATCTCAAGTACTTAAGGAGAAACTGACAGACATTTTATTCATCATTTTTAATATCTCCTCCAAAATGTGGTTCTTCATCACACTGCTTTAAAATAATGAAATGGGATGCTCGCAAACTCTGGGCTTCCAGCAACACTGCTAGTGTTTTGTGGTTTGTTTTGTTTTGGGGGTCTGGAAAGGGTCTGTCTAAGGGAAAAAATAAATGCTTTGAACAAACATGAAAAATCATATGTTTATAAATAAATATTAAGACAGTCAAATATTGAGCTTTCCAAACTTAGTTGCTTTTTAACTGATTATACCACATTTTAGTCTATAAACAGGGTCCAATTTCGTGTGTCTCAGTTGTGAAACCCCAACGGAATCAAGAGTTACAAACGTGAACCTGCCGGTACAATTTAGCCCACAGAGTGAAGAAACACCACACAGTGAATGTAAAGAAATAAGAACATGTTCCCCTGTATTCAGCACCAGTGAGGCCACATCTCGAGTACTGTGTCCAGTTTTGCCCCCCCTACAGAAAGGATGTAGACAAACTGGAGAGAGTCCAGTGCAGGACAATGAAAATGCTTAGAGGGCTGGTCTGAGGAGAGACTCAGGGAACTGGGCTTATTCAGTCTGGAGAAGAGAAGACTGAGAGGGGATTTAATAGCAGCCTTCAGCTACCTAAAGCGGGGCTCCAGAGGATGGAGCTGAACTTTTCTCAATGGTGGCAGATGACTGAACAAGGAGCAGTGCTGAAGAGTGGCAAGTACTCCTCAGCCATGCATGTGTGCACACTGTGAAGAGCATTACTGAGAATTTAGATTAATAAAACCACAAAAACATGCTGGTTTCTAAGCAAAGTCTAGGGACAACAGGTGCCATTCATTCTCTAATTGCACATATATTGAAAAAAAAATCAATAAGTACATGTTAGTTTTATCTTACTGAAATATCACTCCAGAATTTGGAAACATCAAGATGATTTGTTTCTAAAAACTCAGTAAACCATTTTATGGACCGTTTGCTGCCTTTATCTTCTGTTTCATCTCGTTCAAAGTGCTCATTATGTTTATTCACAGAGTAGTTGGTCAGATGCATATACAGTTGGCTCTGCAAACAGGGAAGAAAACGAGATTGCCTCCTGAACAACAGACCCAGAATCACTGGTTTATTTAAAAAACAAATTTCAAAAGCTATGTATATGAAAATTAAATATGTTCACGTTAACAGTGATATACTGTAACTTATTTTTATTAAATAGATGCTTTCATATTTTGGGTTTTAGATATCATTTACTGAAATAAACCTATAGTCCAAATATTATTAGATGAAAATTGAAAACAACTGGCTTTTAGAAGATTTAATATACTGACTATCATGGGCCTAATCTCACAGAACACTTAAAGAGGGTTTTAAATGTAAACCAATGGAACTACTGAAAGACTCAGGGACCCAATCAAGTAAGATTTCTTCCACCAGTGCTTCAAAGAAAACCTGGCAAACTCCAATCAATAACGATAGGAGAATTTCAGCAGCATGTGGGGTGCCTTCAAATCCATGTTATCAGTATCTGTGAAGAGGTACTTGGATTCTCTACCAGGAAACATCAAGACTGATTTTATAAAAATGACCAGGAGATCCAAGGATTGATCAACCACAAGTGCCAGGCCTTTTGTTCTTGGCAGAAAAGCAATGCCACGCAAAAGAAATTGAGTCACCAACAAGCCAAGGCAGAGGTCCAAAGAAGGACCCATGATATGAAGAACAAATGGTGAGAAAACAAGGCAAAGGAAATTCAACATCTCACTGACATCTACAATGTCAGCACCACCAAAAGCCATTTACAGTCCAGGCATCCAGGGATCAACCCCCTGGAGACCCAAGGATGCAGGGCACCTGAACAAGGAAAGGGGAGCCATCAACATTCATTGGAAAGGGCATTTTGAAGACCTTTTCAATGTTGTTGACTAGAGTGTTCTCAACTCCATCCTGCAATACCCAGTCAGAGACTATCTTGGAATCCCTCTAACTCCTGATGAGGTGAGGAAAGCCATCAAGCAGATGAAGAATGACAAGACCCCTAAAGCTGATGGAATCCATGCCCAAATCACCAAGCAGAGGGGACAGGATCTCCCCTCCCAGCTCCATGTCCTCATCTTAAGGATCTAGAAACATAAGGAAATTCCATATGACCTCAGGGATGTCACGATCATGACAGTGTTCAAGGAAGGAAATAAGTCCAACTGTGGAAATTACAGAGGGATCGCCTTTCTGTCTACCAAAGGAAAGATCATTGCAAGAACCCTCCTGAAAAGTGCTGTGCAGGATCCTTCTGAAGTACAGATGCCAACCAAAATTCATCACCGTTCTTTCCCTGCTCCATAACAGCATGCGAGTAGTGGTTCTCAATAATGAATCTATCACAGATCTCTTTCAGGTTAAGTTGGAAGTTAAAGCAAGGCTGCATCATTGCAACAACACTCTTCTTGATGTTCCTTACCACAGAGTGGAGCTAACCTACCAAATGGACTGTAAGCTGTTTAAATCTCAGCCAACTCTAAGCCAAAATCAAGACTATCCTAACATCAATTGCTGAGCTCCAGTACACTGATGATGCTATAGCGTGTGCTCACTCAGAAGCAGACCTACAGGCAATCACTGACATCTTTACTGAGGCATACAAGAAAGTGGGATTGATGCTTAACTTTTAAAAGATTAAGATCCTCCATTGACAAGTTCTTAATAAGCAGTCTGCAGCTCCAGCAATTCAGATTCACAATGAGACTGTGGGGAACACTGAATATTTTCCATACCTCAGAAGCTCTCTCTCATAGAAGGCAAACATCGACAAAGAAATTCAACATCGCCTCAAATGTGTAAGTGTAGCCTTCAGCTGCCTCAGAAAACAGATGTTCAAAGATTGTGACATCAGATTTGAAACCAAGGTCATGGTTTATCAAGCAGTCACGATCCCAACCCTACTGTACGGAGCTGAGACATGGACCATGTACAAGAGACATCTCAAGCTGCTGGAGAAGTACCTGCGGAAGATGCTTCAAATCCAGAGGGAAGATGCACCACATTAGCATTCTCCCACAAGCGAACACCACGAGTATCAAGGGGGTGATCATCCAACATCAACTTCACTGGGCTGGCCATGTTATCTAGATGTCCAACTCCAGATTCCCAATGCAAGTGTTATTATCCCAGCAGTCAAGGCATATGCTCAAGAAGAAGGCAAAGAAAGTGCTTCAAGGATGTACTCAAGGCCAACTTGAAGAAATTCAGTATTGACATCAACTGATGGAAGCAAATCATCAAAGACCACCCCAAATGGAGGAAGAGTCTGCTGCAAGGATCTCAGTACTTTGAAATCTTATGATGACAACAGGAGATGAAAAAGGGAGCAACAGAAACAGCGTGATGCAGACCAAATCAAGAACTCAAACCCACCCACTTCACACAAACATGTACCCAAGCTACATCAGAGTTTGGCAATCGGGTCTCATCAGCCATCTTTGGACCCACAGATAAGACAATCATGGAAGACAATCATCCTCTACTGCAAGCGATTGCCAATGTCTTACTCAACTGGACTGCACCAACCTATCCCTGTGGGAGGTTCCCAGTGTGTTTGCTCAATATGGGCCATGTGTTTTACAGTCATACTCAGAGTTGGCTGCATTTAATCAACTTCATAGTTGGTTTCCATTACTGAGCACACGCTGCTTTTGGAGGCAGTTTAATGACAGACAATGTGCTTAATGAGGTTTCCTTCTATGCAAATATAAGACAAGGAGCTTTTCACCCCTCTGCTGACAGGGGAGAGGGGAAAACTCATCTTATATTCGAGTAAATATGGTACTTTGTTGGACTGGACCTATATAGGTTGTCTTTACAAGTCCAATACATTTAAAAAATAAATAAATAAAAATAAAAAAATTTGTAGAAAGCAACTAACATAACGCACCAAGTGGCTAAATTGAATATTACAGCTTCTCTCTCAAAAATATCTTCTATCTGTAAACTTTCACCTCCCACCCTTGCCTTCGTCAGTAATGCTCATCGTTAACTACTGGCCCCCAAACATCAGAGGCAGGGAAATTCCAAGGCACTCACACACTGACACACAGCCAAATCATTGTTTGTTCTAGTTATATATGGAAATATATAAATAGATTCAGATCAGTTATGTTTTGCAATAGAACATGGAAGCAGACTGGGGAGTTTGGAGGGACACTAGACTCCTATAAGATTAGCAAGGAAATAAACAGACTGAACAGAAGCAAAATCTGTTAAAAAGCTGAAAACAAATTAGCGGCTATTTTTAAATTAAGACTTTTAAATGCTAAGATTTCTTGTTTCCCAAGATATCATTTTAAACTAGCCTAGACACACATTTATATTTGTGTTCTTCAAAAACATGCATTGATCTATACTACTGCTGGACTACTTCTACTATTTCCACTATCACTATGACAAATATCTGTTATAGCATATTATTTGCTTAAGGGCCAGTTTATATTACTACAACCTTTCTGCCTCAGTTCCATTAGAAAGGACCCAAATAAAACCACCATTCCCACACATCATTTTATTATTTTACTCATTACTTATACGTTTGGAAAAAAAAAATCAACAGAACTGAATAACCCAATTTCAAGTTACTTTCCTAATTGCTGGATTATCACAACAAATACATTTTCTGCTATGGTTTCTCATGCTGTTTTAGGAATCAGATCAAGGCCATAGGCTTGAATAACATTTTTCCATAAAAAAGTATCCTGTTAAACAAATAGGTATTTTGCAGACCACAAAGGATTAAAAGAAAATGTTGTGAAATAATGCAACTGCTTTGCTCTGAAAATGTCTGGATTATAAAAATATTATTAGATAGAGATGAGCCAGATTACTAAAAAGCACTTTATGAAACCAATGCATAATGACATTAACAGGTTTGAGAACAGAGCAGAGCTATCTTCTAAAGTACATGCAACAAAAAAACATGCCGACAAAGCTAGAAAAAAGCATACTGATGATGTAGGCAATGTCAGAAAGTATCAGAACTGGCTGTTCCTCTTCTTCCTGTGCTCTGTTACAGAGCATATTTCAGTGTTATTGGTGCTACATTATTATGAACAATACAAAGAAAATTCAAAGCAATTTATACTGAATATGAACTTTGGTAATTACATGCAAAAGCAAAGGAGACTGTTGCATTAGTTGATGAATATCACCTGAAGCAAGGGACAAATAACTTTATGCTATGTACTGTAAGGAATCATACAAACAGTAACACAAGCACTAATCTGGAGTTCAAGTATCAGATCGATGACTACCATGTAAAATACTAAAGTGCTCTCTTACTGTTCTAAATAAAATACTAAGATTCTGCTAGGACTGTGTTGGTAGCACGGGAAGAAGGTATCTTCTCTGGGCAGCAGCTGACGAAATATGATGCCTGGATACAGAATGGCAGCAGTGTACAGGGAAGCCCTGACTGGCTGACCCAGACTGCTCAGGGTCAGCCTGGCTCTCCATGCAACACAATATGAGAAGGTTGAAGGGGACACATTCTGCTCCCTGCTTGGCTGGAGGAGTGCAGTCCAACGAGCAACACCCAGTCTCCCAAGAAGCATGGGGAGGAGAGGCAGGAGCAAAGAACCCTGGGATCCAAGATGGAGGACTGTACTGTGGCTTCTCTCAGAAGAGAATGCGTATAGACATCCCCTCTCCCAAGAGAAACTCTGAGAGTGATTTAATCCTGATACCAGGTTGTTTTTCTCCTGGAATGGCCACTTTTGCTCTAGAAGAAAAAAACCTCAAGTTCTGTACACTTGAGGTTTCTCCTGGGTGAGCAGCAACTCCTAAGGAGAAACAGAACGTCTGTACATGGCCAAAGTAGTAAACGGACCTCAACATACACGGATTCCTGGGATGCCTTCAAATAACTTGTTTCTCAACAAGTTTCTAAGATCAGTTGTCAATGTGGTCAACTTCAATTCTTCTTCTCTAGATCTGAATATTAAAAAATGCGGTCTTTTTTCCCCCTATGCTTAGAAATATTACATCCTTTAGACACAAAAGTAGTTCTAAATTTAGAACAAGTATAATTTAAAACTGCTACCATTTATAAGCAATAACGAGGCTATGTAATTGTGTTCTTGCACAGCAGAGCAATAATGAGTTAAATGTTTAAAATACTATTTTTCTTTCATTTTAATTATTCAGTTTTTGCCTGACAATGCAAAAGTCCTGTTTGACAAACATTAAACTAACTGCTTTTTGCTTCTACATACCAGATACCTGACATCTGATTAACACCATATTCACATCTAAGTTTATAACAGATGCATTCATATGAATTTATACTTACCAAATTTGAGTCACTGGGTGGATGGTATTTCTCTGTGCCCATTCTCACAAGTCCATCATGATATAAAAATATTTTTAATGGATCGCAGGAGGTTACCAGAATGTACACTCGTAAATCAAACTTGTAACCTTCCATAAGAAAGGGTTTGTCAAGGTATTCCTGGACAATCAAGTGGTCCTGAGCTTGTATTTTTTCCCCATTTCTTATCAGAGAGATTCTGGTTAAAAATACAAAAGTTAATTTAAAAAACCTAATACGTTACAACTCTTTGAAGCACAGTTTAATAGTTGTTTAGTTAGTAGGCCAGTTAATGCCATTATCAGGAGAGAGAGAGAAAAATGCACCACTCACATACTGTAAAGGATAAAGACGAAATAACAGTACTTCAGTGGGATGAAGAAAATCAGTGTACCATTTTAAATGAACTTCCTGCTCTCTCCACTTCAACAAGTTGAAATAGTGGGCTTCCCCTCTACTTCTCCAAATAGTTAGGCGAAGTGACCAGTCACTGGCTTTTAAAATTATTTCTTCCCTAGCATCTCTTTGAACCGGCTTCCATTCTTTCCTCAGTAGGTGATGTGTCTGAGATCCACTTTTTGATGGAGATTTCAATGCAAAATGATTTTGACCAGACTGGTTGCAAAGTAAAGTACCACTCAACATGAGTAAGGATGCTCCCATCTCCCCTCCTCCCACAATTTACACTTTGTTCACAGACTGGAAAATGTCCATCATTGACACATACAGAATTTTAAATAGATTTAATATTTAAACTATTTAACTAATATTTAAACTAAAAATGTTTTCCAGTATTTTTCAACTTTCTGAATTCTCATGGCTTTGTTACTTTAATTCCAACCTGTAGTATTTTTAACTTACACTTTAAGATACAGCACTTTAATGAGCTAGAGTTGGAAAGCCCTGTTTTCCCACACATCAGGTACCCACCTTTGTGCCATTCCTCTTAATTGCACTGTTTCATCTTTCTCCTTAGCTTCTCTATAGTGTTGTCCTTACCAAGAGGACTGGAAAAATAAAGCATGGTGGGAAAACAAATTATTGGTCTTTGAGTACTACTGTATTATGTTTTGCTGAATTTATTTATAAATTTGCTGAATTTATTTATAAATTAAATTATAATTTAACTCCAGCCCATTAAAACCTTTTAAAATATAAAAGGATGGAATTAAAGTAAAAAAACTAAAAGAATTCTGGGTTAAGACTAAAGCAGTGATATTTCTGTCTCCTGTTTTTCTGCTAACATCCCATACCACTATTCTGGGTCCTGTATGCATAGTATTTAGCTTACTGTATTTATGTTAAAGGAATTGTGATCCTGAGATATATTTGAGCCATATCAGAAAAAGCTTTCTGTAATAGTGACCAACTCAAAACTACATCAAGGCTCCCCCATTTACTATTTCCTCTTAATCTTATATCACAACTCACATTGCTTTGTAAGCCTTTATCAAATATGTGAGCCTCCATATGCAGAAGTTACCACTCTCATAGTAACCTTTTGTTAATGCAAAATTCCCAGTTCATGTTGTCAGTATCAAGGGATACAGCAAAGACATTAAAACTCAAATGCTGCCATTACTTAGAATGAATGTTTTTCTATAAAAACTTTATATTTCTGTATGGAACCCATACATAATATATTTAATTTCTGGTTTAACATTCAACCTACCCATGCCCCATTGCACCATTAGCTGGTTTGATTATGAAAGTTTTCTGTCTGCGTTTCTTCTTCAGCTCCTTTACATAGTTTTGAAACTGTGTATATTCTGCAGGAAAGATCCATGTTCGAGGAATAAAACTGTATTCCTGAGGCTGACACTTGATCATTCTGCAAAAAAAGGAAAACTAAGATTAAAAGCTTTTTATTGTTTTTCCAAGTGTATACTTGTTACATTCAATCTACTGAACAGGGTTCCAAACAGGGACTTTGAAGAGAAAGTTCACTGACAAAATACAATAATAGTAAAATAGCAAACCAAAGTCTAATATCAGTTTGGAATAGCACCCTACAATGTATTAATATCCATACTAAACAAACAACAATAGGGAAGCATACTGTATTTTTGCCAACTGTATCCATGGACTCATTTCTTCTAATCTAAGGAAATATCTCAGGTAATAAAACTCCTTAATGCTATTGTATTTGCATTGGTTTGAAATATGAAAACATACAGTAGACAATGTGATCACAGAGGCTTCTCCTCTTGGCAAAGAGCCTTCCTTTTTCATTTAATTCTCTAAAGCTGGTGGCAATGGTTTGGCAAGTATATTATCTTAATGTCTGTATCTATGTGGGACATAAAGGTTAGGAAGACCCAATAAAAACCAATTTTGAATCTCCAAGATAGACAGAGACAAAATGTGGCTGGGATGAAGAAGAGGATTTAGGCCATAAGAAATTTATTTATGAAAACAAACAAAAAATATTCATTTAAAATATAGTTTAAATGTAGATTAAAATAATAGAAGCACCCTGAGGTAACTAGAAGCGAAGGTGCTGCAGGGGCACACAACCTAACAAGCCACACCATTTTGTATATGCATTAAAACAACCAAAACAGCAGGGAAAACAAGATAACTCATCTTTGGTTCCAACTCATTGGAATCAAGGACCCACACTAAGATTTTAAGTATCCAAAAGAAAGGAAGAAAGAAAAGAAAGAAATAACAAAATCTAATCAAAGTTAAAGAACCACGAGGAATGATCCATCCTGATGGAACAAAGCATATGATGAGTCTGCCCCACTGGCTGGAAGCAAATGCGGCACTCAGCACATCATAGTCCCACTCTTTGAATGTTTAGAGCCATGAGGAAAACAGCAGGGATCATGACAGAGTATCTATAAGTAGTGTGACAAGGCATCACCAATTCCAACTGCACCCGTGACATACTGTACTCTAAGGGTATGCCTAGGTTTCACATTCCAATGCATGGCAGAGATATCTGAGCTAGCTTTAAACAAGTTAACTGGGTAGTGGCAGCACCTTCTGCCTGATCTGATAAACCTTCTAGTCTGCAAGCATAGACATATCAGGACACCACAAAACATGCAGAGCTCACTTGAAGAAGCAGAAGTTTAAAAAATGACCCAACTCTGCCATATGGTTCAAGTACTGTGCGTTGTTTACCTACGCTGCCATATGGTTCAAGTACTGTGCGTTGTTTGCTCGTTTCTTATTTTTAATCATTACAACATTACACAGTTAATTTTAACAGCTATTAATAGATTAGATGCAGTTACACTCCCACTCTGCCAATGGAAAAAAATAGGGTCAGGATGACTTGGATGTCAGTGGCCTTATAGTATCATTGCAGCATTTCATGCCTAATTATGAAAAGCTGAAACACTCCTCACATATCATAGGACAGTTCCGCTTCTCATTGCCTTACTTAATAAAAGAGCTGTCAAGCGCATCTGTAAGATTAGGACTGGAGCCAAGACCTTAAAATACTGGTACAATAGCTACACTGTCACCAAATCCTTCAGCTAATTATACAATAACACTATAGAAACCACAATGGCCACTATAATTTATGTATTGCACTATATTCAACACACTCACAGCTTTAATTGTGACTAGCTGATCTACAAATTGTAACTGGTGAAAACCTTATACAGATTACTCAGTGCTAAGTCAATTCATATTGACTAATTAAGCAGAAATATTTTAATTATACTGCTAGTCACTAAATACAGAAATATATTCTGGCCTTGCTGGTTTGCTAGCTTATCTAACAAGATTTTTTGTTATTTTATTATTTAACTCAAGAAAGGACTTTGTATTTTGTGTCACATTTTGTCCTGCCATCAAAAAGTCAAAAGATGTACAACTGAAGGTGTTTTATATAACAGACAGAAGAAAACGTAATGCTGCTGTTACCATTGTTTAACTACATAACAGATTTAAATATTCAGCTTTACTGGCTGCATATAGTTTCAGTCATTATAATATTGGTGCTACTATAGGACTACAAATTCTTTAACACAAAAAAATGTTGTGCTTTGCATTAAACTCAGCAGGCTGCCAGTAATTAACAATACAAAACTGACATCTTAATTATATTTTATATGACTTGGTAACCACTTATATCTAGCATGAAAATTTAAAACTTATTTGATTTTTACTCTCATTATGACCCCAATCAGGAAAGCACTCAAATACATGATTAAGCACTCCTCTGAACCAAGACCACATAACTGAAACCCACTTTTGTGTCATTCCTTTTCAGCACACTGTTCCAACCTCCTCTTCAATCTGTCTACAGTACTTACCAAGAGGACTGAAAAATATACCACAGTGGAAAAACAAGTTATTGTTCTTTGATTGCAATTCTAAGTAAAGCTAGTGGTCAGACTGTGTGCACTTCATCCAAGAGTGCTTTCCTCTTCAAAATGAATGAGATGTGTTAAGGACAACATTTAAATGGCCTAAACATATTTCCTCACTAAGTCTCACTCTTAACTTGTTTCAGTAACTTTTCAGAGAGGGGAAGGGGGTGGTATATGAGAACAGACAGGCATAATTAAGCTGATCTTGATCCACGGTAACAGAATTTTAAAATGTTTTGGTGCCTCCATTCCTTTCTCAGTTACCCGAAACATCTTGCTCTTATAACTTCTTTAAATAAGAAGTATGTTTACACAAGTATTTATGGACTTGAAGACCCAGGAAGTCCATTCCACTTCTGGCTCTATTATACTGAGTTATGTGCTTTTGTTTTCTTTACTGTAGTGCTATGATTAACCCTCCTTGAAAATGTTAATCACATTGGTCTTCTTTTGCTATTAGTTTACTCTTTTCCCATCCGCTCAATTCATCCTCCCCTTCACCCTTTGCTGCCAGGTTGCTTTCTTTCTCTCACCTTGTACCTGCTTGTCCCTTTCCACCCCCACTTCCCCCAGACCCCCCAATGAACTCCCCTTGCCATTTTTGCCTAATGATCTAGTTTTCTGCCTGGAAATTCCTCTCTTGCTGTTGACATTGATCTTCAAGTGTGACTTCTGCTTCCTTTCTTTCTCCTTGGTAGTACTGGCATCTCAAAAGCAACTACCTGCATTCTTGTGCCCCGTTCCCACATCTTCAGACTGTTCTTTGCAATGAACATGGTTGAAGTAGCTGGAAATGAAGAACTCACACTATACAACTACACAGCTCTCCACAGACTCTCAACAATGCTTCCATGACCTCTCTATGGTCCAAAAACCACATTACCATATGCATTATTTGAAGTCATTTTGACTGACATGGGCACCAAAACATTCCTAAATCTCTATTTATAAAATAATTATATAAAAGACTTAGAATATTTGTGCACAAACATGTATATTTTGATTCATTTTGCTTTAAGCACATTTAATACAAATATATCAAATTGTTGGAAAGAAACAAATGCACACTATTAATACAGCATATAATCTTTCATACAATTTAGAACTGTAAATCAATAGCTATCTTGTGTTCACTTATTCCGCATTGCTAAATGTAAACAAAAAGTATTTATAATAAAATAAATTTTCACTTCTAGATGGCATTTCAACTGAGCATGTGAAAATACTATTGCACCTACTAGAAAAGGCTGTCTCTTTCACACCATTTAGATCTCAACACCTCCCAGGATGTAAATGTTGACAGGTACTATTATATTCATTTTATAAAGGAATGAACAGAAGCTAAAGAAGTTTAGTCTAAGGCACAGGTGGGCAAAGTCTGGCCCATGGGCCAGATCGGCAGACTCCATTTCCCAGCAGCCCCTGCCTGCATCACTGTGGCCAGTTTCCATGGAGACCCCAGCAGCTGAAGGGCCATGACAACATGGGGGCAGGGTTTCCATGGAGACTGGCCCTAGCAGGGCTGGCAGGGTGGAGAGCTGCTCCAGGGCCCAGGCTGGGATCCTGCGGTGGGGACAGCGTGGTCCAGAGCCAGGTCAGAGCTCAGATCTGCTGCCTGCAAACCGCTGCTTGGGTTGCTGGGAAATGTAGTCTGGCCACCAGCTGGATCCACCATTTTGCCCACCCCTAAAGCCACTAGCAAAACTCAGAAAAGACACCAATAGGGACCTTTTTACAGAACTGCATTGGGAATTTAATTGCTTATTAATTCATAATGTCTGCAAGAACCACATCACTGAGTCCCTAAGCAATGAACTATTTTATGCTTAGTCTTAATGTTTAATCACCTTTTTTCTCTGTTTACAAGAAACATGCTTAGTATAACATTCCCCCAAATTAACATCCTACTTTTTCTATTTGTGGTTGCTTAAGCCCCAAGTCTTTACATATTATTTGGGATAAAGTTTATTCTAAAACTTTTCTCTTATACTTTGATTTACTTGCTTGCCTTTTCCTTTAAAGAAAGGATTCAGCAATAACATTATGCTCTGGACATTTTGTTGCTTTTATTTGCAAAATACAGTATTCAATTTCTGCTTGTCCTACTGTTAGGGTAACACTGGTACCCCAGTCTCAACAGAACACAAGAGCTGTTATATTGCAAGTGTAATTGTCAGCAAATGACCTGCAAAACTGGGTAAATAGAAGCTCTGCTGAAAAAAAAGCACAACTGAACGATGACAAATAAAACCAGGTACGCCTGATTCTACAAAACAAATAGGGAAACAATAGAGCAGAAGAGACCATACAGAGCAGAAAAGCAAGAGGCAAGAAATATATACTCTATACATCTTCATAAACTTTAACAGCAATCAGAAACAAAAGCCAGTCTACATACTGCAGTATTTCCAGTTGTATTTCGCGACTCCTTCTTGTTTTAGACCCCATTTTGCCCATTTCAGGCAGTCTTGAGGTATATGTTGCTTTGAAAACTGCCAATTATTAAATCAAATGCGGAGTCACAAAGCTGAGATTGTAAAAAAGAGACTTGATTTATCCTTTCTATAAATCTGTTGACTTTAATGTTACAGAGAAACAACTGTTCCAAAATTATTTCTGTGTAAGAAATTGTTTCTATAGTATTAAGAGCACCTCAAAAGATTTTCACATTCATTATTTTGATATTGGGTCCTATCCTTAGAACGAAAAGCTCTTTACCTGAACCTGAAAATAGCACATGCATGGTAACTAAGGTTCTGTTTTTTCTGTTATTTTTGGGGGGGGTTTAACTAATTTAAGAAATTCAGACTTAAAGCAGTATGCATATCATACCACTGCCTGTCATGCTGACCAACACTAGTACATTGTTATTTATCCGTATCCATTTGCTATCTCAGATTTTATACCAGGATTATTAGCTCTGTGGGGCAGTGACTGTCTGTGTTCTATATTCATGCAGAAATTGGAGGGGGACATCAAAGAAGCCGGGGTTGTGGACAGGCAACAAAGGGGCAGAGAGGGAAAGGGGGACAGGCAGCAGAGGTCAAAGAGGTGCAGGGGGCAGACACGGGAACAGGGAGGCGCAAAGTGGAGCAGGGGACAAGTGACAGGGCATAGGCATGAGGAGGCAAGGCATAGTGGGGCAAGGGACAGAGGTCTGGCCCTCACCCCCTGCTGCCACCTCCCCCACCACACTGGGGGATTGTGGGGAAGCATTCAAGACAACCCCCCAGTAACTAGATTATATACACGGAAAATTATAATGAGTTCATAAATTTCCATGTATAGACTCTAATTATGGGGGGATGTCTTGAATTCAGTCATCTTGAATGTGGGTAAATATGGTTACATTCCTTATTTGCACTGCCAACTCATCAACCAGTAAAAGCATGGTAGTTCCACTGAGTTCAAAGTAACTGCCAGTTTGCACCAAGTGAAGCTTTGGTTGACTACCTTGGATGGATATGAATAATGAAAAAAAAGTAACTACAGCTTTAGAAAAGGAGGTGTCAAAAAGTAAGGACTGTTTTCTTAATATAAACAATGAGATGCTTTATTACATGTATAAATATGATCTACACGAGATTATAAAAGATAACCACTAGCTATTTTAAACAGATAATATGTTTTAAGGGGTCAGCCATTCATTCATCTATTTAAATTCTCTGCCCCACTACTCTTGGTCTGCTAATGAATATACATGAATATACTGGATCTGGTATTGGCAACGGGGGATGACATGGTAGGGGACCTACAGATCGGTAGCCATCTGGGGGACAGTGACCACCTAATAATAGAATTCACCATAAGACGTCAAGTGGGTAAGGTAACTAGTAGGGTGAAAGTGCTAGACTTTAGGAAAGCTGATTTCAATGAACTCAGGCAATTAGTCAAGGACGCACTGCAGAGTAGGAGTTTTGAAGTGATG